CATCTGGAAGAGGAAGGTGGAGTCTATCCTTTCTGCACACTGTCAAAATCCACACAGAGACCAGGGAAGGCTCTGCCACATCCCTAAACGTGACCTGGAGAAGGCTTTGCCATTCCATTGGGTCTGGGACATGTCATGCTTCTGTCAACAGCACACATTCATTTAGGACTTCATCTGCTCCCCAGAGAGTACTGTATATCTGGTCCCAAACTCTATGGTTGGGGAGCTCGCAGGCCCCAGGGGGAGCCCACTACTTTTATTCTGCTAAATGGACACAGTGCCAAACTTCCTTCTAGGTTCCTATCTCTATGTGCCATTCTCAGACCTCACCAGAGCACGTTCTTTGTACAATGGATAGGGCTAATGCAGAAACTCACAATTAGTCAAAGTGCAGAGAGTCAGTGTCAGTGAAGCGGTCAGTCACAAATGCAACGTCTGTATCATACCCCTTCCCCAAGGCTCAGGGACCATTGTAGAAGAGGTGCTAGAAAGATTCTAAGAACCATAAGTCAGGTTGTGGAGAACCAGAGCAAGACAGTGTCTTGTGGACATAGCTGGACCTCTGTACTCATGAGCTCACAATAGCTGTGTCTGTCTGAACAAGACCTGTATGACATCGGTCCAATCAATAATCCACCACGAGGGCAGGGCAGTTTTTGAGCACCCACCCCTAACTGAGGAGCTATTGACAGTAGATGGCTGGGGGGAGCGGGGGGAGGAGAATCAGTTTTCTTTAAGGGTGTGGGTCCTGGTAGGTTGACCATTCTCTAGTAGGTGGCCCCATATCCATATGGACAGCACAGATTGGAGTCAGTATGTTGTTTAAAAAGCAAAAGAGGATGCAGGTGTGTGAATTATGATCAAAATACACTGTATGACATTACCAAAGAATCAATAAAAAGATTTTTAAGTCCATTGAATGATAATGTATGCAGTAAGCATAAATAAAACAAATGGATAGAATTATGGAAAGGTATATTTTAGATTAAACAAAAAAGATAATTTTGATCCTGGGAATGTTTCAAGGTAACACAGGCAGCTTGGATGCTGGTACATTCCCTTTCCTTCAAGGTGTAAGCCAAAGCTGGAAAACTATTTGTCCACCAACTAGTTTCAGGGACGAAAAAGCAAGGGGCATTTAGCATCATTATCTAATGAGCTCTGGATCCATGATCCCTGAACTTGAATGTAAAATTAGGTGCACATTCGGAGGAACTTTGTCCTTTGCATTTTAATTACAGCCTCTTTAGAGGATGAGCTGGTGAATTAGCTGTAGCTTTCCATGGAAGTTTCCAATTATGAGTCAAGGGCCCCACCCTCAAACATAACTGGTTTGCTAAGCGCAAGAAACATTTGAAAATGACTTCTAACATGAGAGACGGGAGTTTGCCAGGCTTGGAGGTTCATGCACACAGTAGACTGAGGTGCATGAACCATGGGCTTGTGGCCAGCCTGGGCTAAAGAGTAAGGCCCTGTCTCAAAACACTGAAAAAGAAGCAACTCATCCAAAACAAAGTAACAGAGACAATACAGGAGGAAGAAAGATGTAAAAAAACAAAAACCCAATAATAGCCAATAACACTTCATTAACATCCCCAGAGAACTAAGAACACATTTTATGAGTCAATGAATTGGAGATTACATTAAAAGAAGAGCCAAAGGACAAAGATCTTGGAAATTAAAATTGATATCAGACATGAAAATTTTATAAGAAAGAATTGAAGTCAGAGTTTCAGAAATCTAAAATATTGAGAGAGAAAAACATGACATGGAGACCAGGGGAGTATGGAACAAGTCAGGGTTAGTCCAGGAATTGAACATTAACATATGAGTGACAGTTGGGTAAAGTGAAGAGATACACAGGGCCAGGGCTCTAGTGACAGGTGACAGTGTTGATCTCAGTACCAACACCAAACAAAAACAAAGAAGCAAGTGTGATTTTTATTGAGTCAGGGATAATTTGTCATAACTGTAACCCCAGCACTTGGGAGGTAGATGCAGGAACAGCATGAGTATGGGGCTAGCCTGGGCTACACAGCAAGTTCCAAATCAGCCTGAACTATAGAGCAATGCCTTATCTCAAGGGTGGTGGGAAGAAGGGGAAGAGAAGGGATTCTTTAAAATAACTCAACAGAAATTTCCTAGAACTAAAATATGTGATGCTCCAAGGCAGAAAGGGCCTATCAACCAAGTTCTTTAATTTACTTTAGTAGATGAAAATTGATCCATATCAAAGTGTGTGTGTGTGTGTGTGTGTGTGTGTGTGTGTGTGTGTGTGTGTGTGAAATTGAAGGTTATGTCAAGGTGTGTATGTGTGTGAGAGGGAGAAATTGCAGATTACTGGGTCAGGCATACTTTTTTAGATTTGCAAAAAGCCCAACAAAATCAGGCTGCATGACAAAGTCAAAATCTGGGTAGAACTAAATGTTGAACAGGAACTAGTACAGATAATTGATTTACTTGCTGTAAAGGGAAAACTGTGTTGTTGTTTGTTTTTTTCTCTTTTGGGGGCCCACCATCCAGCTCCCAAATAAATCACACATGGAAGCTTATACTTAATTATAAATGCCCAGCCTTAGTTTGGCTTAGTTTCTAGCCAGCTTTTCTTAACTTAAATTATCCTGTCAACCTTTTGCCTCTCAGCTTTCTTATTCTCTTACTTCTGTGAATCTTACTCTTACTCCATGGCTTGCTGTGTAGCTGGGTGGCTGGCCCCTGGAGTCCTCCTCCTCCTCTGGCTCCTTCTTCACTCCTCCATCTCTTTTCTTCTCTCTCCTCTCAGATTTCTCCTTCTATATATTCTCTCTGCCTGCCAGCCCCACCTATCCTTTCTCCTGCCTTGCTATTGGCCAGTTCTTTATTAGACCATCAGGTGGTTTACACAGGCACAGTAACACAGCTTCACAGAGTTAAACAAATGAAACATAAGCAAAAGTAACACACCTTAAAACAATATTCTACAATAAAACTGTTTCCTGTTCAGAATTTTATAGTCTGCCACAAATTAGAGGCAGTGGAATAGAGGGATTGGCAGGGTCAGAAATTGAAGATTTTCATAGGCCAGCAATATACTCATTGGTAAGTTACTTGCCACTCACGCCTTGAATTTAATCTCTGGAATCCATATGGTAGTAGGAGAAAATGGACTCCCACAGGTCATCATCTACATGAGTGCAATGCCATGTACACACACACACACACACACACACACACAAATAAATGAATAAGTGAAAAACCAAGATTCTCACATATCCAAAACATTTTATAAACAACAGCAAATATATAGATAAGGTACACGCCAGGGCTACTGCTCCCTGGGAAAATTCTTGATGACAAGATCTGAGAAGTGAGTATGAAGTTCACCTGTTACCTTTCACACCCTGGGAAGAGCATAGTCAGACAGATCCAGACTACAGACTGGAGATAATACTTAGATATTCCAGCAGTGGAGTATCTGACTATTTGTACTGAAGAGTCGGGAGAACATAAGGCAGCTTGAAGTGTGCCAGAGTCTAGAACACAATGATAATGGTAGTTGCAGGAGATTTAGCACCAACCAAGACACTCTGCAAGGACACTGTTTCTGATTAGAGATAGCAACAGACCTTTCCTCAGAGAGGTCAAGGGTTAGGATCCAAGATGTGAGGTTACAGCTGCAGGAAGTACAAACAGGGATAGTGTGTTGTTTTTCTCTTGTTTTTCATCTTTGGCATTCCTGGTTCCCGAGCACCAGCCTTTCTCCTGGGATGATTGGAGAACAACGCAAACCATGGTCAAGGCATGGAGTTGACTGCCTGAAGCATCAGGCACAGTCTATTTGAGCCGAGCTTTAAAGAAGTCAGTTCTTTCCCCTGGGCATTCAGGGGATGAGAGTCTTGGACAAGTAAACCTCTTCCTCTCAGAAGTGATCGGAAGCTTATGTCACGTGCCCCTTTTCTGGGAAGACTCCTGAATGGGTTCCATCTGGCTTGGGAGTAATACAAGAAACAGGAGGACAAAGGGGATGCAGAAAGAGGATGTCAAGACCATCAGCAGGATGACAGCGAAGGGGGAGCGGCAGGACCGCAGGTGGGAGGGGCAACCTCGATGGGAGCATGCGCAGTGTGGGAGAGGCATATGAAACAGGCAAACCACACATTTAAAAAAGCTTTATGTAGGTGTAACCGGACTAGAACAACCTGGATGTGCTTCAAATGTACAAGCTCATTAGGTTTGCCCTATTTATTCACCCTGGAAGCCACATCCCTCTCCAAGCAAATGCTATTTGTTGGCTATGATAGAGTAGGACGTTATCTTCTTGCTGCCTTGTGTGTGGTGGTGCATGCCTGTACTGCTAGGCCCAGGAAGGCAGAGGCAGGAGGATCTCTGTGAGTCTGAGGCCAGTGTGTTCTCAGGTCGGCCAGAGCTTCATATGCAGACCCTGCCTCAGCAGACAAAATAAAACGAAAGTCAGCCCTTTGCTGAGAATGTAGCTCAGTGGTAGAACACATTGACAAAAAAAAAAAAAAAAAATTAATTACTTGCGTTGACTACAGCAGTTTCACTGTGCAGTTTTATCTCAGAGTAATTCTTTTCAAGCCATCTTGCTTATCCCAGTCCTTTGCTTTTCCATATGAATTTCGGAATCTACTTTCTTAAAATGTTCGAGGATTTGAATAGTGATAGTGACGAATCTTCCAATGAACTTGGGGAGGCATGACATCCTATCAATTCTGAGTCTTCTGAGCCATGAATACAGTGTAATTTTCCATTTATTTGGACCCTTTCTAATGTATTTTCCTAGTAAATTCCAGGCAAGCACTCTATCACTAAGCCACACCCCCAGCTCTTGTTTCTATTGATTTTCACACTAATATCTCATGAGAATTGAGACATAGTTCTACACACCTTTTGTTAGATTTATCTTTATATGTTTTATGTTTCCTGGTAGAATTATCAATAGGACTTGTTCCCTTAAAAATGTCATAAACACATTTTATTTATTACGATTGTGTTTGTAGGCTTGTGGGTGCCAGAGCAGACATGTGGAGGTCAGAGGACAATTCGCAAGGACAGTTCTCTCCTTCCTCCCTGTGGGTTCCAGGGATTGAATCCAGGTCATCACTTTCTGCCTTTCAATCGTGAGTATAAAGAAATATGGCTAAGTTTTGTATGTTGATCTTGCATAGAGCTTGCTTGGGTTGTTTCTTGAGGACTCCATAGGACCATCTATGCAGATAACCATGTTGCCTGTCCACAGTGACTAAGTGTGAGGCAACCTACTTTATTTTCTTGCTTATTGTACCAGGTGGAACCTCCAGGACAATACTAAATAAAAATTAAGTGGCAGGATTTTCTGCAGTAGAAATCTTTCAGCATGTTGAGGTGTTCCTTTCCAGCTTTGGTTTTATGAGATTTTAAAAAATAACGAATCTTAAGTACTCTTTATGTGTATATTGAGACACACAGGTGTTTGTTAGAATAGTAACATGGAGATTTATTTTGATTTGGATATTATTGGTCAACCTTCAAAAAGCTGGGAGTTTTATACAATCTAAATTCAGATTTATAGCAATTGAAAATAGTGGAGCCTTGGAACTAAGGCAGACAAATAAATCAGTGGAACTAAATGAACGGTTCAAAATAATCCCATATTGCTCTGGAAAATGGATCCATGACAAATGCAAAAGAATTAGTGGAGAGAAAGAGTAATTGGCATGCTGCTGAAACAATTGAGTATCTGTTCAGAGCCTCACAAAGCCTTGGCATGACGCCCCTTGGTCATGTTGTATTATCCCTTTTAATATATTGTTGGATTTATTTTGCTAAAGTATTCCTAAGAGCTTCTACATCTGTGTTTATGAAGGACTTTCATTTTTCCATGAATATCAGAAACTACTTTTTAATGTTTTGTGTGTGTGTGTGTGTGTGTGTGTGTGTGTGTGTGTGTGTGTGTGTGTGTTTGAGGGTGTGCATGTATATGGCAAGGCAAATTTGGGGAGATCAGAGGACAACTTGCAGGACCTGGTTCTCTCCATCTATTTTGTGGGTTCTGGGAGTTGAACCTAGGTACTTAGGCTTGGCAGCAGGTGTTTCGACATGCTGCTTCATCTCACCAGTCCCTGAGAATCTGCTTTCTTACAACAAAACCAATTCTGGGATTTTAATAGAGACAGTAGAAACTGTAGATGAACTTGGGAAGAAAAGGCACTTTGTATGGTTTGCTATATTGTTTTTGTCAAGTTTTTGTTTCAGATAATATTGGTCTCAAAAAGCTAGTAAGGACTTGTCCCTCTTACTTGAAATTTTGGTAGAATTTCTATGAGTTCTTCCTTATTGTTTTGTCCTATCATTAGTGAAACCATCTAAGGTTGGAGTTGAATTCATGGGAAAGTACTCTTATAAATTCCATTTTGTTACTACAATTAGGCCTATGAAGGATTTCTTCTCTTGAGTGATCTTGGGCACGTCGTGAATCCATCAACAACTCCATACATTTTTTTTTTTTCTGGATCTTCTAATCATCCTGTGTGGGAGCTGTAGACTTGTGTGGGTGACACCTCTCCCAGCCCTTAGTCGAATCCTTTGCATCTTCTACTTCCTCCTCATCAGCCTGGCTGATGATTATCTTATCAATCTCCTCATTTGGTTTCTGTGACCCTCACCCACAAGCAGTATTGGAGAGGGGACCGGGTTCCTCCCAATTTGGAGCAAACACTATCACAGAGACACAGTTCTAGTACGAGTCCTCACTGATTTCCACTCTGATCTTAATTTTACCCCGGTTTTGTTTACATCAGACTTTACTGTTATTCTTCTTCTCCTATTTTTATTTATTTATTGATTTATTTGTTTGTTTGTTTATTTATTTATCTATCTATCTATTTAAGGTGGACACTGGGGTCTTTGATGGCCCTTTTTAATGGTGGCATTCCCCATTCCGCGTGCATACTCTCTATTAGTGTAACTTTTTCTGTGAATTCCTCTTTAGACAGTCCCATCAAGCTTGGTTCCATTCCTTTTCTTTTTAGTGGTGCTGAGGATCGAGCCCATGACCGTACACATGGCGGGCAAGTGCTCTCCCTCTGAGCTATCGCCTCAGCCTTGCATGCTGTGTTTTCATTCTCCCCCAGGACCAATTACATTTCATTTACCATTGGGTTGCTTCTGTTTTCATGACTTACATATTATTTTGTTCCCCACATTTATAGATGTTCCCAGTTATATTCCTTCTTTTGATTTCTAAGTAATAGCTGTGGTGGTCAGACAGACATTGTATGACTTGAAATATTTTCATGTATTGAGTGGCCTTATAGATCTTGGTGCACGTTCCATGTACACTTAAGAAGCATGTGTGTTCTCCTGCTTGTGAGTAGAATTTCACCTGGATATCAGTAATGCCAAGTTGGCTGGCAGTGGTGTTCAAGTATCTTACATCCTACTGATTACATATACACTCATTCTTACCAGTTCAACGAGTGATGTAGCGATCCATGACCATAACTGGATTTGTCTATTTTTTGAGTTCCATCAGTTTTTGCATCACGAATCTTCACGCTCTTCTTCTAGAGTCGAAAATACTTAGGACTGCTGCATCCTCTTGCTGAGCTGACCTTTAGCTATGAATGACCTTTTCTGTTTCCCTAGCAGTCTTACTGGCTCCTGACCCATTGATCAATAGCAGGAAATGGAGATCTTGGGCTCCAGTTAAGAGGAATTGGATTCTGCCAACAATCCGAATGTGGTTGGAGGCAGATTCCATCACAGAGTTTTCAGATGAGAACTCAGACAGTGAGTGTAACCCTGATGCCATTCTCTGAGACCCAAGGACGAGAACTCAGCCACACTGCACTCTAATGTCTGACCTTAGCTGTGAATACTGAGAACAGACTGTGCCCTGTTCTATGCTATTCTGTGTTGTGTAAAACAGTGTTTTTGTTTTTTCTTTAGACTGTGTCTTGCCCTGGAAGACTCTATCTATAATCAGTTTTCACTCTATTTTGAGCATGGGGAATGATTCTGTACCTGGGTGGACACCTGGGTGGCACTATATGTCTGGCACCACTCACATGGCACAGATTGATCAATGACTAACTCCTGAGTATAGGAAGGGTGCCATGTTAGACATTTATCAGGATAAATCAAGATTGCAGGGAAACATGAGTGTCTTAAAATCATATCAGGAAAACCAGGGTTGAGAACTTACCAGACATATCAGACTAAGAAAGTGTGCGGCTCCTTCACCAGGTTGTCATAAAGAGACGGGCATCTAGCACTGTGACGGCCACAGCCCCCACAGACCTGCCATCTGGTTACCATGTGTGTGACGAAGGAGAGCTCCTGACTGGCTCAGGGCTTCAGATTCACTTGTTCCCTGATGCTGATGTGTCCTAGTTGAGCTACTCTCTGCTTATCCTTCTGCTCACCCATCCGGACCTGCTGTCCATCTGTCCATCTGGTCCTTCTGAACCTGGTCCTGCCTTTGCTTTACCTCATTTCTGAAACTCAGTTCTGACCCTGCAGCCTGGACACTGTTGTAGTCAGACATTTTCTCTGGTCCTGCTAAGCCACCCCACCCCCCAGTCCCATGGTCCGCTTATAAAATAATCATTCAGAAGCTTATATTAATTATAACTACTTGGCCATCAGCTCAGGCTTATTACTGACTAGCTCTTACATTTAAATTAACCCATAATTCTTATTTATGTTTAGCCATGTGGCTTGGCACCTTTTCTCTGCTCTGCCTTGTCATCTTGCTTTCTCTGTGTCTGGCTGGCGACTCCTGACTCAGCCCTTCCTCTTCTCAGAATTCTCCTCATCTGCTCCCTCCGCTTATACTTCCTGCCTGGCTACTGGCCAATCAGCGTTTTATTAAACTAGTGTACAAGGGCATTATCCCACGGCATTCTGTGACCAGCATCCAGTCTGAGGACAGGGAGAAGGGCTGTGAAGTGCTGTCTCCTGGATACGGTACAGCCAACGCTGTCATGACCTCAGAGCAACCTACATTGGGCCCAGAGAAGACTGGGCCTATCCAGCGGTCAGGTCAGTCATGGATAGGGGAGGAATTTACACAGCCTTGCTCCTTCCTGCTTAACTATAGGCTACTACTGCATTTGGTGGAGGTAATCGCTATATCGCTATCTTTAGTTGTATGTCCAACGGTGAGCCCAGCAGACTCCAGTGGATAGTTCTACCCCACGATCACACAGATGATCTTAATTAAACTGAGTGGGTCACAAAATAACAGCAACAATGACAATGACACCAAGAACAAGAAGTCATGAATGTGAGAAAAGACTTGTGGAAGGGGAGGGTAATGGAGGTGGGAAAGAGATGAGGGTTATAGTAATCAGAATGTACGTTATTCGTGTGTGAAATTGCCAAAGAACAAACTCCGTGAAAGTTTAAAAAGAAAAGGTGCTATCAATAAAAGGATAAATCATGAATTGCAAGAAAATATCCATAATACATATTTCTAATCAGGTATTAGAAAATAACTGTTTATAATAAGAAACTGACAAATCAAAAGGAGAAAACATGGCTGACAAATAAATCCATTAAAACATAATAAACATGCCTTTTAAAGGAGTTTCTAGTTCTCTATTTAAATACTCCTAATTATCCTTTTTTTCAAACTTAGGAAAGTCTGTCTAATAATGACAACACCAGAATTGCTATTCTCCTGTCATCTATCACGTCTGCTGATTTTTATTCATGTGATTTTATTTCTTTGAGTGCCTGGCTAATTTCAATTATGTACCACATAATATGCACTAAAAGTGCTTGTGACAATAATTTGAGGCCCAAGACTGTGCTGTCTTCCCCCACAAAGTCTGTATCTTAGATTCCACAGGACACTTGAAAGTAATTACTATCATACCAGGACCTTTGCCTGGTTTCATAGGCCCAGATGACCCCGAGCTAGGCACTTGACGATGGCAGGACTGTCTATTGTTTGGTCTTTTGGGGGCAACTTGCTGACTCTGTGTCTTAGAAGATCTCAGAATCTCTGGCTGTTCTTCCCTTTGGTCTCCAGAAGCTATCAGAAGTGTGCCTCACCTTCTTATCCTTTCAGGCATGTTTTTCCAAAATTAACTCTGCTCACACCTTTCCTAGAGAAAGAGGCCTTCTCTTTCCC